CTTCACTATCGTTAAGTTTATTTATCGCCGCGTGTATATATCCTCTACGTGACGTTCATTATTGACATTAAAGGAGCGTCATTAGTTTGTCCGTTTATACATATTAAATGTGTGTGTGTGTGTCAATTTGGTATTACAATCGCGAGTATTACATGATACCAGATAAAATTACAATCTATGCGAACCACGTAGTAAGATCGTTTTAGCGAGGGCGTTTCCATGAAAGCGCAAATCAACTCGTTGCTGATCGATGGTACGTTACAACGCCGCGTATATAAAATCGCGGTACGACGCCGTAAAATGTGCGAACATGAAGGGAGACTTTACTCATGGTAAAATCTCCGGGAAACCGCACACGCGGGGAAGAAAAACGAGAGTGAAAAAACCATAAAAACACCTGAAGCACTTGATCGTGGAAACTAGACGATCGCTAGACGGCGACTACGGTATTCTGCATCAAAGTCGTATTGCCGCTGCTTTTCGAAAAACACAATGTCTCAAGCATGAGAGAAAGTGGACACATTACTTTGCATATTTAATGCTGATTTTAGCGATTAGTGAAAAATGTCAAATCAGGAAACTTTGAATTTATAATTTATTTGAAATAATCTTTAAATTTTACGGAGTATAATCTTTTTCACTTTTTATCAATTCTACAATAAACTGTATAATTAAATCAATTGACATTTTTAAAAATATTTACAGATTATTGAATTTAAAATATCATATATTGAGTAGGTAGCTTACAAGATCATCGACATCGTCTAAGATCTAATGTAGAACATCGGACAAAGGGCCTTGCGAAGCGAAAGTTGTCTGACAGTCACCGGAAGAATCCATTCTGATTGGTAGTAAACTTTTTGCTCCTTACAAAACCGTAAAATATGACAACTAGACGAGATGACCATTTTCTAGGAATTCGTTCCGTTTCGTAGATTTACCCTTTTTCTCTCGCCCTCCCGCGCCACCCCGTTCGCTTCTTTCTTCTGCTCCCCTTGCACGGACACGGAAGACTCCAACTTTTAATTGACCTCGGACTCTTCGACACGTTGTAATCCGTGTCGAGAGCACGTTGTAACCGAGTTCCAGCCGCGTTCCAACACGTTCCACGTCCTGCATTTGCACAACGTGCTTTGATTCCGTACCGGGAATAAAATGGGACTAATTGAATCTCCCCGCTTATTCGTAAAATATCACAATTTTTTTCGAGTTTCTTCAATATCTCACTATGTACATTATATGGAAAGTTTCGAAATTATTCTTTCTCTTTGGATGGTAACCGCTATTCTTTACGACAATTATAATTTAGTCTAAAAGCGTATAATTATATTTTGACTCTCTATTATTATTAATACTTCTCTTAATTCAACTTCCCTCAATATTCTTTTAATAAGAATAATTTTTTTTCTCTGTCATTTCTCGATATTAATAAAATAAAATCATAAGTCAAGTTTTAATATGAGACTAATAGGTTATTATTATTGTGGAATAGTGTTGCTTTGAGGAAACTTGAGGCATGAGACATCACACGCTCATCTACATACACACATTTGACAGAGCACGCGGTCCGATTTCTGTGCATGTCTGTTTACGCGGAATCGTCGGATCGACCTGTTTACGAGCCGATCCTATCCCTCCGAACATAAACGTACTCCCCTTTCCTCGTGAATTTGCTCGTACGAGAAGAGATAAGAGCTTGTGAGAAAAGCAGATAGAGCATTCGTTATTAAAAAAGAATAGCTCTCGTTCGCGCCGCGCGCAGAGAAATATTTCATTTATATATTACAAAGTAACACGAGAGCGTACAATCCAGGGCGCGTAGGAAGTCGCCGATAAAATTGTTACAAAAGTGGCACTTTGTTGATATTGTAAAAAACTCCATTAACCCGTTAAAAGATGAAAGTTCAAGAGTCGCTTTTTACGTTAGGATTAACGACTAATCCGATGTCTCATTCCCCTAACGGGGTCCTCAGATGAAAAATATGTCTCAATAATTACAGAATAATCAAGAAATCATAAGTGAGTGAAAGTGTTGCATTAAAGTATTCTCTTCGATCGTTACGTCGGGCGAGTCGTTTAAAAATGGGAGTGAAGAAAGTACCGTCTCACAATTTAATCATTATGTGAGATACTCGATGATCATTAGAGTCATTCACTTAAAGCGTTAACATTTCGAAGGACGAAAGAAAAGATGTCTAGATACGCGACGGCACAATCTTAGTGTCTTCTAACTCTTCAATAATAATTAATTAATTTTTTCTTTTCTTCTTTTTCTTTTTTTCTTTTATTTATTCTTCTTTTTTTTCAAGTTTTACACGCGCGTTTGTGTAACTAAAAAGCTTGAAAACCGTGTTTCAAATAAGTTATTAATTTCTCAATTCTTTTTAGATAAAAAAGTTTAAATTGAATTAAATAAATATTATAAATGAAATTTAATAATGATAACTTTTTAAATAAAAATTCAAAAGGTCATCAGCCAATTTCCAAGAAATCGACAAAGATTTTCACGCTGTTTTTATCATAAAGATATTAAATATGAAACTTTCAGCGACAAAAAGATCGCGAATCTTCAAATAAGATTACCATATAAGGAGAAAAAATGCACTAGGTTTTTACGCCACTCTTCAAATTCGGCTCAAAATACATATTCGCTGGTCGAATGAATCATACACGCATGTTGCGACACGTCCCCCATTTACGTTGCTTCGAAGTCGCGACAGATCTCCTGGAGGCTGCCGACGAGGAATTTCCAAACGAGCGACTCGCATTATTTGACGAGTGAATACGATAATGAGACGAGCGCGTAAAGGGGGGGCCTTGATCCAGGCTCCATCGTCCCACACATTCTTCTCCCGACTCTTCGCGGGGCCCGAAATTTCGACGTCATGCGATCTGTGCATTAACGAATAGTCCAGGATCTTTGCGCAATTGCCGGGCTGGCGGCTAATTTTAGGGCCCCGATGGCCACAAAGCGCGAAAAATTCTCCGCCAATGAAAGAGAAATTTAGATTTGAGACACGCAATGTAATAATGATCGTGCATGCGGGCAACGTTGAATCGATGTATTTCGAGCCCGCAAGAAGAGTTAGAATAAAGATAAAGTAAATTATTAATATGCTTAATAAGAGTATACAGTTACCTACTTAAAAAAAAAAAAAACGTCAAACAATCTTCGTTTTAGAATTTCGTAATAAGATGCACATAATAAAGAGCGATAAGTAAAAAAGTATTTCGTGTAACAAAAGCAAAATTTTCACGCTGCCTGACTAGCGTGAACAGATTATGACATGTCAAATAGTGTTGAAAAAATAATGTTGAAATAATATTTGTCGCGGAAACAAATGCGTCAAATTAAAGGGCGATATAAAAGGACGTGTTGCAGGTAGTCGTGCAACTTTTTTTACCTGGCAGGTTTGCGTTTCTCTACGGCATGAATCACTAACGAGAGTCCGTCGATCCTAACGAGAATGGAAGGGTGGCGGACTTATCTCGTAAACGACTAACCTAGGCCAGTCAGCTCGCGTGCCATTGGCAGTGAAAAACAGAGATTGAAGCGTGCTTTCCTTTTACGAACAAAACTACCGATTGCTTAATCCTTTCCAATAAGGAGGAGAAAGCAAGAAATGGATTCAGCTTATCCGGTTCAAATTATTATCAAAAACGCATGATAATGCTTCTTGTCACGTAAAAAAAGTTTGATATAAATTTTTACAGATAAAATATCGTGTGCGATCTTGATTTATTATATACTTTTATTATATACTCTAAAATTGATTGTATTTTTTTAAGCATCATTTTTTAAGCATTTTTTTAAAAATTTTATAATGATATAAAAATCAAATTATAATATTTTTATCATCTTCGCGTTTTAAATCAATGTTGAAAGAATTTCTAATCTTTTTTATAATTTTTATGTAAAGTCCACTTCAAAATTATATATGTGGTTACTGTTCAATAAAAAGATGCATAGAATTTTCGAATACATCTTTGTATATATTATAAAAGAAGGCGTCAGTTATCTGTCTGTCTATTCTCATACAAGCTGCATCTTATATTTAAATAAAAACACAATCCTGAAATTCAAGTTTCAAGAAAGAAGAGAAAGAGTCGAGAAGCTGAATTAGAGGACGTCAGTAAAGAAAAATAAGGTTCTAAACGTAAAAAAAAGAATGCTCACGAATGCATATTCTACTGCTCGGCTTGATGATAAATTTACGTTCGTACGTGTTTTCTTTTTGCTCGGTGCAGTGTCCCCACTCTTTTTCGCCGACTTTTTCTTTCGCTCCTAATCGGTGATCTTACGTCACGCATGCAGTCACAACCGGTTCCCAGACCAGCTTAGATCTTAGGAAGTGTTTGCATCTGACGCAAAGTCGCGACGACTTCGCCAACAGACATCAAGACCTCGGCGAGGTCTCGGTTGAGACCTCGCATAACTTAACTGCCCACGATGATCCCAATTTTTCTAGTAAACAAGTCCTTGATCTCCGTCTTGATTCACGATGATGATACATCAAAGTGTTTCAGATGTTATTCATTTTACTTAATCGTGTATTCTTTAACAAATTAGTCAATTTTTTTTTTTAACTTTTCTTTGTTCTTGGATCAAACATTTTTTCTTAATAATTTTTTCGAATGTTTAATAGCAACTATTTCAACAATATATAAATTTATTAAAATAAAATTTGCAAAATTAATTAAAAAATATAACACTTCGCTGTACATATGTACAAATATTTAGTTATAAAATTATTGATAACACAAAAAATGAAGGCTCCATTAACGTTTGCATTAGATTGCATTTCTGTAAAATGTCTTTTTTTTTTGTTTATAAATATAAATATTATATTATTTTATTCTCTCTCTTGTGTCAGATTTATATATATAGTCAAGTCTTGATATGGATTATGGTTTAAAAATAAAGCAAAGACGTCAAATCACAGACTACGTAAAAATATGCCAGAGAATGTATTAAGATCATACAAGCTCTTGAAACTCACCTTTCTGCAGCTGACCGTGGTCCGCGTTCATTTTCGCCTGCAACAGAAAGTGCTGCGCTTCACCAAGTAGAATTAGCACGACGGTTATATATAAAATAGATTACTAAAATATTTCGAAGCGGGTTGTCTCACCTCGTAACCTTGTTTCGCGCCTCGGCTGCCACCCCAATAGTCGCTTTCCTTGTCGTGCGGGGCGCATTGCTGCAACATAAAAGAGAGTGTCACTATTAGTTCTCGAGATACGTCTTCAATAACTTCAATGTAGCTAAACTTTTCAGTCGTTTTTAATATTAATTTAAAATTTGTAGAATGGCAAAAGAGATATTTGTTTCGTGATAGAAAGAGAAATTATAATTATAACATTTTTAAAATATTTTCTTGTTTATTGCTCTTTCAAAATAAACCATTAATAAAATAAAATAACTCATTAAATATACAAATATATTAAAATATATATATATATATTCTCTTGATTTTTAAAATTTTTTAATTTATTCAAGATTTTTTTCTTGACGTGTGATATATCATATATTTAATACCGGTATCAAATATCCAGAAACACAAATTCTTCAGAATGGTATAAATACATATATACATATATATATATATGCGTGCTCCTATTTTCTTCACTACAAATAACTCGACATTTCGCTAATTAACATTCGGGAACTCCTTTGGAGATCCAAAAGCGTACTTCCGTAGGATTAATCGGGCACCTTGATGGTTCAATGGCACGCATAGAACGACCACAGAAGAGCCATCGAAGAATGACCCCATTTCCCTTCCCACGACCCTCTAAACCACATCCATCCCCCGGCATGACCTTCCGCACCTCGACAGAGCTCGCGCCAGGTCGCGTACGCTTCCCCGAGAATTCGGAACGGACTGAGCCTCGTAAACCGAAAGTTCAAACTACTTTCTTCCGAGTTTCTATCCGAGTTTTCCATACGAGTTTCTAAAATGTAAAATATTGTACGTATCTTCTTGAGAATTATAATAGAAATAACATCCGTCTATATAAAATACATCAATTTTTGTTTATATGAAAGTATTCAGTGATATATATTGAAAGAGCTCTTTAAAAGTGTATGTCTGTAAAAAATACAGAGCCCATGTATCCAAGAAATTGATAAATGAACGAAAAGATATTATTCTGTAGATATCCTATCATTTGTTGACGTATACGAATAGAGAATCTGATAGCAACGACGACAAATCAACACGTTTCTCACGCGATGTAATTTGTATATTTCTATCGTACATTTATCGTTATTAAGTATACAATATTTAAATATATTTGTCTATCTAATAATAAAATATTTATTGTGAAAAATATCTCTCTCAAAATATTCAATATTAACAAAAATTCGCGTAATATTAAAAAAGCTATCAGGACACTTTTACGATAACGCTTCGTAATGTAATCGCAAGGAGCTGAATACTGGATACAGAGAAGACGAAATGAACCGAATCTTGCCCGAGAAGGGGACAAAGATCGTGCCCATCCTAAAGAAGGGCTAGTAGTAGCCCTTCGCGCTACAGGTGGCTCGTCAAACGATCCGATTCTGTCGGAATCTCGTAAGTGGATATGACGAAGATACGAGTGTCTCTGGACCAAGGGTGGATAATGAACCGTCGATGATGCCCGGGCAAAATCTTCGCACCCCCCAAGATCGTGACGTGGGACAGACGACAAGGGAGACGCTACGAGTACACGGAGCTTCCCCGACCTACAGCGGAAGTCCGTGGGACGATCAGTGTCTATTTTAAAGACGGGAAACCAAAGAACTCGAAGTAGGTGGAAGACGTATTCGAGAGCAATCGACTTTGTTAGCGGCTAAGTGGGAGAAATGGTAGAGGTTGAGGTACGGGGGAGAAAATCTCATCCCTTAATCCAACCGTATGTTACCACATGTCATATAATGGCGTGGCTTTATATTTAAAATCGGAATCTCCATCAAATCTAGATAATGAATAATACGGAATCATATTCTCGATATTTAATGAGCCTGTTTTATAACTTGATAATTTATTTGTTCAACAAATCACGAAACATTGAAATTTGATTTAAAAAATTGCTGGAATCGCTCTTTTTTTCAAAAATTACTGACAATCAATAATATACATTATAATATATATACATAATGAGAAAAGAATGTAATTATTTATCGATTTTTCTTATCTCATATTTTTGTTTCGCACGTATATTATTTTAAAGTAACTTATAAGCGCGAGAGGAAGATAAATAGGAAAAAGATGTAGATTATAATTATGTTGAGAATTATATAATAACAAAAAATACAGTAGATATTATATTATACACTACACACAGACTCTTCAATTGTAAGATAAATACCAAGACGTATTTCTTTCCGAGGACATAAAGTAAAAATATATATAAAATATAATTTTTACTTAAAAATAATTCAATTACATATCTTGTCATGCACAAAAATGTGGTTGTACACATGGCATTGGAAATATCAAAAGCAGTAGACGTACACGTGATCAATCCAAATTGAATCTAGCAAGTCTACGTGTGTGGGTGCGTGTAGCGCGGTTAAAATTCAGCTGGATAATTTCCATATCGGTATCAACGATATGTACACCAGAGCAGCGAACTGCTCGTCGAGCCCTTACGTCCAGGTTTGCGCCCTACGTGCTCGACAGAGAAGAACGTGCCGGAGGCAGCTCCGGATTGGTAATCCAACCTACCACGGCTCGCTCGAAGGGAAGATATAGAGAAAGAAGAAAAAAAAAGAAAATACATTTTAGCTCGCATCCAGGCACTGCAGCCAGTTTCACCACCGCGCCCTCCCCATCCCACCCACGCCCGTTCACCCACCGCCGCTCTTCTCATGCACCCCTCGGCCCTCCTTTTCCTCCCGTATCCAGAGCTCCCTTTACGCCCTTCTTTATCTCTCCGTCTCTCCCTCTCGCGCTTGCCGTTGAGCGTACGCGAGTGTGTGTACGTGAGTACGTGGTCGAGCCGATGGTCGAGAAGAG